TGAGCTTTTCTTGATAATGACATAATGTGTCAACTAATATCTAAATAATATATAACATGTTACAACGGTGACAATATCACCCAACTAGAAAGAGGCAATCTTTTTTCACGGACTATTTTTCAATAATAATACTTACAATTTAGATCATCAGATGCAGTTTCTAAGCCAGACTCACAAACTGCTTTCAACGCATTATATCGATCATATTGATTCCATGTTGTTATACGAATGTATGATTTCTTTTCTGTATGGTAACTGCGAACTGGAAAAGTATTGATAATCTTGGTTTCAAATTTTGATATTCCTTTGAGAGTTGTAGATACAATTTTAACTAAACTATTTTTAAATATAGCTAGTGATTCTCCATCTGGGATGACAATATCGAAGAAAGGTTTGATACCTATAATATCTACTCTAGCCTTTTGCCCATTAATCAAAGTGCTGTAAATACGTAGAATATATGTAGATATCCCATTTATATATTCAGTGGCATCACTTACATCATTGAACATGAAGTGTATAGGTTTTTTATCAGATAAATTTTGTTGGAGTATAGCAGTTAACCCATTATCACATTCTGAAATAATATCATTGCGAGTTGGGATTCCGGCTAAAGTTTCCCTGTCCTCATATCGCTCGAGTTGTATGCTTTGTTCACTCATTTTTGGTATTTGGTTTTTTATATGTTATGAATCAATCTTTGTTCGATTATATTATTACAGTATAGTTTGGAAAAGTTTAAATTATTTTTTCAGTCAATACACAGAGATATCAAAAAAAATGCATCAAGTTTTAGTGAGATGAATAAAGAGGATTGCAATCTTAATTAGCGAATACTTTGAATATATAAGTTCAGTAATATATTATAAGAATTATGGAAGTTATATATCCAGTTGATAGTATGTGCTTGGAGTATATAAGTTCAGTAACTCTACTATGTAGAGAGAAAAATGGGAGTTATATACCCATTTCGATATATGTTTTAAGAGTATATAATTTCATTAATATTATATAATAATTATAGGAGTTATATACCTGTCTTCCTATATATTTAATTACTTTTTTACTACGTATGTTCTCAGGACATATTTCTGGTATCAAAAATTATGGCAATCAAAATCAGTATACTTTAATATAACGTACTCGATAACATTTTTTGATAACATAGCCTGATAGCATTATTAATAGCATTTACGCAATATACTTAGCATACATATTTGATAACATTAATCGATAGCATAACCTATATCATTTTCCAATACCGTTGTCACGATCAGCCTCCTGGTAGTATTATCATAACATAGGTGTTCAACCAACATCTAATGATGGTATTTTTACAGTTACTCGATCTCATCGTCATTAGTGTACTTTGGGATTATCACGCAGTGCATTTTCTTCTATCTTATAGATAGGCTCTCACTATTACTAATAGATATTATTTCTACTTAGTGTGGGACAGTCCTATAGCAATATAGTACTGATATTCTATAGCAACTTTGGCAGTTGTCCAATAGTGCGCAATAAATGCAAGTATTTTAATAAGTTATTAT